GAAATCTGATCTTGTTGCATGGAAGGGAGCCCAAAAAACAAAGAGCAAGCATGCTTTTATACTGTGATGATTGAAATAAATCGCAAAATCCTGTGCTTTTGGATTATTATACTGTATAGTGAAAGCTAAATTAAATTCATGGTCAATTTTGTGACTGTAAAAAGCTCCATTTGTTCAAGAAATATCAAAATTTTGAAAAATTACATTTTTTTAATTGTTCAGAAACTTTGTGAAGTGTTCATATTTCGAGACATTGCCTAGATATCAAGGCAATGTTGGGGCATCAGTTTGTCAGGGCCCCATTGTAAAATGCTGGAGAATTGAGGATTTCAAGGAACATTTCATTTCTAAAAAAAACCTAATGAGACAAATTACAAAAAGTCCTCCCCTATAAAAAAAAGTCTAAAAAAGTCAAATCCAAAATGATTTTAGTTTCACAAAATTTTATCCTGAAAAACCTTGTTTAGTTCTGATTTTAGAATATCAAATCTGCACCAGACACACAAACACCCACCCACACAGTCCTTATTATGGCCCTCAAAAACCTGCATATCTAAGCAAGTTATCAGTATGGAACTGGGATCATAGAAGGGGAGTATTTCTGAAAACTCATTTCAAACTCTTTTGTGAATCCACAAACTTATGGTGAAAGCAGATATGAAACCTACTCAGTAAATATATTTTAAATTAAAAATAAATGAAAAAAGTAGGACCTAAAAACTTTAACAGATTCCTGCATGGATTCTAAAAGACATTTATTCATACAGTATGAAGCTTTTTTGTCATGGGAGTCACTTATTCTTCCCCCATCAAGAACATTTTGTAATGGGTTAGGCTTTTGCTATTGAGAAGTGAATCACCATCTTTGAAGTCACCCATTGTTGTCAGCAGGGCCAAGGAAAAGGGGGGGGGGGGGGGAGAAGCGGGATTTGGAGTAGGGAGGAACAAGGGTGGTTCCTTGTGGGGACGGGTTTCAAGCAGCGCCCAAAGATCCAACTTTTTGGGTTCCAAAAATAAGAACCCCAAGCAGGTGATGATCCCACAAAGTCACAGGGGGGTTTGAGAGAGTGTAACCCAGTTCATTGATCCTCTGGCCTGCGTATGTTGGGAATGTGTGTTTCTTACACCTTGGGGAATTCCTGGACACCCATCATCATGCATGCGCAAATTTCTTGGGCTCCAGCAAAGTATTTCAAAATTTGATGAGGGACAGAAACTTCTTTTATTTTTTTTCAAATTGGGGGGGTTTTGATTGAGTTATGATGCAATTCATTGCAAAGGGGGGTGTTGAACACAATTATCTTGTAACCAATGAATTACTCAAGAGAGGATGCATGTCTTTCTTCAGATGATAATACCCAGACAATTATCTTGACCACAGGTGATTGCATGACAAGACAATTCCACCAATTCGTTTACCCATGGCAAGTTTCCCAACTAAACAAACTCGTCGCCTGCAGAAATGAAAAAGTAGGGCTTCCAAAAAAGATTTACCTCTTTGTCCCATGACCTAATTTTGCTGCTTGTTCTGCAAATTAAATAGCAATGTGCTGGCAAAAAAAAAATAAGTTGAAACCATGGGTTTTAATCTTGGCACACAAAAATCAGTAATCAAATGAATTTTTTCTGGAGAAAATAACCAAATTAATAAATCTAATGGATTCAGAAATAAATTTGATTGTTCATCAATGTATGGATCCTTGTCCATATAGAACCTTTTTCATTGCTGGCCTGTATTCAATGTTCACAAACTTGATTGACAACTGTTTTGTGGAATAAAAAGCAAAATATAATTGTTATATAAGAAAGGACTCTCAAAATGAATCCAATGATTCAGTAAGAAAAAAGGTTTTTAACAAAATTTACTCAAAATAATCCAATACAGAGAGGCCCAACCTCATCCACACTGTCACAGGTCTAAAATAAATACATGTATGTAGGTTTTCTTCTTTCTTAAATAACTAGAATAAAAATGTTCCCCAAACTTCAGATTCAAGTAAAAAAACTAAGAATTGTCTTTTGTCATTTTATATCTACATTTTAGTTGACTCTTTTGCCCAGTAATGATCTGAAGTAATTGTTTTTGTGCATTTACTTTTTCATGAAGGCACATTGAAATGTTCATAGTATTTTATCAATGTCCACGATTTTTGAATTCACTGTAATCAGAGCTGAAATCTAGCGTTTTAAAGGGTTGATTTTGCTGCATTTCTGAGAAAGAAAAAAAAGCACACTGCAAGTGGACTCGAACCCTCGGGCTCAAAATCAGTTTCTTGGTCAACAACTCACAAAAATAAACAAACCACTGTAAGTTTTGGTTGCTAAAATCAATGTTTTGATTTAGAATATCTTTTTACATGAAAAAAACTTTGAATTGAAGGGATACAAATGAATCTTCTTCAAATTAGGTATTGTTTCTTTGTGTATGAATTTATTTCTACTAAAGCTGCTTTTGAGGTTGAAATAAACTTTTGATTGGCCCCTTTCACCGAGTGTTGTTGTTTGTCGCAATCAAAGCATGGATTAATAGCAGTTTTGTGGGTGGCAAAAAAAAAATTGTGGAATTTTATTTTTACACACACACACACACACACAAAGTCGCGCGTTTAAGAAGATGAGATAGTGTCTCACACGATTTCTTGTGGGCAAGAAAATCGGTCGATTGTTGTGCAACAGATCCGAGGCTTTGGTTGACCCTCACCCTCGACCTGGAACCAGGTTTTGTGGCTGCAGGAAACCTATCTCCATCGTGTTCATTCTTTTTAGTTTCGACTTGAGCCTTGAGGGACAAATTTGCAAGATTTTTTTTAATAGCCAGGAGCGACACCTGGGTCAAAAATTTGACCCTTGCTTCAATTTTTGAGTTACTCTTCCAGCCAGTGGTTGTTCATTTCTTTTGATGAAAATGTGTGTGTTTTTGACTGCGGGTCAGGAAATAATAAAATATGTATATTTCTCTATTTTGTTTTTTGTGTGTGAGTTGAATCAGAGGATTTTTTCTTTAAGGACTTCTGAGCAAAATTGAAATGCCACGTTTTCAAATTCGATTTTAAACATTAATAGTTTTTGAAGTTCAACAGATGCACAATGTTGCTTCATCATGGCCTTAACATTTTCAAACATGAAAAATGTCTCACTAGAAGTGTTGAAGTTCTACAAATAATAGTCAAGATAAAAAAAGAAATATGCCTCTGAATGATTCATAAAAATGAATAGTGAAATAATGAAGACTTTTTTTAGATCTTTGTTATGATGATGGTCAAAAACAGTGTTATATCCATGAACATGAGTTTGAAATAAAATCATAGCATTTATTCTTCAAGGAATAAAATGTCTGTGAATGACTTGTCTCTGAATCAATTTAAAAGGTAATTAACTCATTAGTAAGTATGCAGGAGTCAAAATGCATCTAAAAAGAATACTGTGATCATTATCCCAAAAAGTAATGTATATCTGAATCAGTCATGAAATAAAGTGAAATTGAAACATATCAAATTCAATAAAGAAGGAGCAATATGTTCCTTTTCACCCAGAAAAACTCCACAATAATTTGTAAGCTTTTTCAGCTTTCCAGTTCTCTTTTTTCTTACTGGAATCAAAGGTATTGGAAGTGAACAGAGGAATAAAAGTTGGACCAGTCCCCACGGACATTCCTATCAGGGTTGTCTATAAAGCCATAAAACCAAGGCGTGCCTAATTTCCTGGTATCCTTGTGTCACTCTCAACAAGACTCGGTTTTTATCTTTGATTCATCCAGACATCCACCAGGTGGTTCTGATGAAGTCACCCTAAATTCTTGTGTGGGAGGACATCTTTGACACTTGGACATTTAATTCCTCTTTTTTTTGTGTAAAAAAATGAGAAAATTTTTATTCAGAAATGCATAAATATTTTTGGGCTCATGGGGGGCTGCTCTAAAATTGCATCTAATCTCTTCTGAATCAAATAATTTCAAGTTGAGCATAAAAGCTGTAAAAAATAATTTTCAAAATAGATATTCCTTGTTTTTTCAAGTTTGGGAATTACAAATTGAACTTATTTTGGCCTGTCATTGAAATAAAATACTGTACTTTACATTTATAACTCCTTATTCAAAGTCAACTGAAATTTATTTCTATACCCACTCAACTTTTCTTTCAGCAACATCATTCTATCAATGTTTTTTTTTTAATGAAAGGATTCTCTTTAATACATGCGCTAGCTTCACATTTTACCAAAAACTTGATGAAATTCTAAATTTGAACAAAATGTGGAGTTTATTTGGACTCAAAATTTTAAGTTGGGTTTTAATCTAAGAATGAATTAATTTGGGAATATTAAACCGAATTTAGGTTCCCTGAATGAAAATTAGTGCTAACTCTATGAATATTTTGAAATCCGAAAATAATTGCCCAAACTTTTTGAAAAAAACTAGAGAGAAAGAAACTCCGAATTAAGAATAGCTGGAAAATTGTGAAAAAGTCTCAGGAGGAATTTCTTGGGGAATACGGCAAAATTGTATTAAATAAGAAGATGCTTTGGAATCCTTTGAAAAATTTTAAATGTGACAGAACTTTCTGAGCAAATCTGGGACAACAGAAAGAAGACGTTACAATTTCATCCCATTTTCCTCCCGTTGTGAAGCGAAATGATTCATTTGTTCAAAAATAGGAGAAAGATGGTTTGACATTCGAATACCTTTTCTTTCTTTCTTTTTTTTTTCCTTATTTTTCTTCCGACCCAGGTTTCGTGGATCACGAAACTGTTCCATCACGATTTCACCGATATGCTACAATCAGTGACTCAATGCGTGATCACTGATCACACGCTTTATTTTTTTTTCCTTTTTATTCTATATACAGTAAATGTATTTTATTTTTAAGTGAACTGAATGGTTTCTCTTTCCGTGCCATGCACGCCGCCCCTCGGGTCCCAGTCACGACACCCATGCATTTTTCCATCCAAAAATTCCAAACACGCATTATACGGGAAACCCTCGACCTATGGATACCGTCAGTTACAAGCGACACCTGTTGCCAACTTTCCCCAGCTGATTGAGGTTTCGCAAGAAACGTTTCATAGGTGTCGCGCTCTCCAAGGCCAGCAGCCCATGTCTTATTGCTCTCTTCACATAGAATAATGGGATGGATGGATGGATGGAGAGGATGTTTATTTTTCTGGCTCCTTTTGGGGCTCAAGGAAAGAGCTAGGAAACTGGGGTTTACTTTATTTCTTGTTGGTTCCTGGAAGGGAGAAGTGAGAGGGCTGGGAATGTTAGAGTAAACCCAGGGTTTGGTTTTTAGGAAACCAGTTTGTGTGGTGAGAGAGCAAAGCATCAGTTCAGCTCTGATGGGTGTTCTGGGAGGATAATAGCTATCAGATTTCTTACATGATCAAGAGGGGTACTAATTTGGTTCCTAACTGAGTGTTTACAGTGCTGATGTTGTTTCACAGAGTAATCTTCAAAAGCTCAGTGTTTCAAGACCTGATACATTGCTTATTTATTTGAATATATTGTGTACAGTTTCTTCCCTTGAAATTGATTATTTGGTGTATAGCCAGGTGTAGCTGNTATAGTGTTTGGGGGCTTCAGAAAGTTAATCACCTTCTGCTAAGTACAGGGAATATAAATCAGTGATGAGAGGGAAGAATAACTTTTGGGTGGGACCTGTTTCCTTTTTTTTGTTTGTTGGGAAATGTATTCTTCTCTTTCTTTTGTATGAATTTTTCTTTCCTTGGGTTGTGTGAGGTGAAGTGAAGCAGGTTCTGCGGTCCACTGCCCAAGAGTGACTGCAATCATGGAGTTGTCCTCCTTTGGTGTCTGAGTATGAGTCTTCAGTGTTGCTTGGCACACTGCCCAAACATGGCTTCCAAGAAATTTCTGGAATCCTTCCTTTTTTGCTTGGAACAAAGGGAATTTGTTCATCTTTTTGTGGGATGTGTGGACTCAGTGTTTACATTTTAATTACAGAGTATAGCCTGAGGCTGGGAATTTTGTACAGAACACCCTTGGTTCAACAGTGGAATAGTTATTCTTTTGGGAACTTTTTTTCTTGGCTTGAAGCATGCAGGGAGTAATTTGAAAGTTCATCATTGAATTGGATGGATTTTGCTGCTGACTTTGCTAATTTATGTAAGGCGGTTTCCTTCTCAGACTTTAACTTTAAAATGAAGACTAAATGTTCACTGATTTTTAGGGAGCTTTTTTCTACAGCTTCAAAAATTCCCACTACAGTAAACATGTGATATTTTCCCATTGCTGTACATGGAAAATTTTGTGTAAATATGCTGACATTGCTATAATACTTAGTGTTTCTTGCTGTGTCAGTGTTTTACATTTAATCACAGGTTAGAGTGTTTGAAGTACACCCATAGTGAAACAGTGGAAACATTATTCTCTGTTTTGTTTGTCAGCTTGTTCCCATTTTTTCCCCACAGCTGGAAAACTAAAATAATGTGAAATTGTTCCTTAAAAAGTCTAATGGAAGTTGTGTTTTAATTTTATAAAAAAATTGCTGCTGCTCATAGCACAATGCTGTTGGATGATGTGACACTCTTCACAGACTGTTTTTCATTCCTAGAAACCATTCAAGTGTTATTTTATACCATTCCACTGAGGGTGAGTCAATCATGATGAGAAACTCTTTGGGTACCAGGTTTTTCTCAATTGATGTGGTTGTTTATATGATGAGTTCCATGTAATGTGACCTGATACTTGATTGATGGAAGGTTATTGACAATAAGGTGCGTGTTTATATCAGACTCTGTATTAAAGAGAGAGAGAACCCTGGGTTCAAAAGGGTGTGTGATATGAGTGTGGAAGAAGTGAAGGCAGAGAGTGGCACAGTGGGGGCGACACCTGCTGCTGGAGAAGCCCCAGCAACAACATCAACAACAACAACAACACCACTGAGAGGAGCACCACGCCCTCTGCTGGCAGCTGCAGCAACCATCAAGCGCCTCCCCAAATGGGTCCCAGTGTTGGTAGTGTGCCTCCTGTTTGCTGTGGTGCTGAGTGCAGTCCTGGTCTCTGTCCTCCTGTCCACTGGTGCAGTTGAGGATGAGGCACAAGGGAGACAGTCTTTGGCTGAGCCCCTGAGGGGGGCAGACTGGCTGACTGCAAGTTTCACCACCCAGGCACCAGCAAAGGCCGCTTCTCGCAGGCCTGTGTGTGCCACAAGTAGGGCTGATGCCAGGCGACACCTGGTGCCCATGTGCAGGTCCATCATTGGTGCACCAGACCGCGAATGCCCCGAGGGCTACTACAAGGACTTCAATGGAAACTGCGTCCTGGCTTTTGGCTTTGACCTGCCTTATGAATGAAATTTGTGCACCACTTCAATTGGTCTCTCACCTGCTATAGTGTATATATAAATACATTTCCCATTAAAAGTCTCATTTTAAAGGGGGGGGGAACTGAGTTTTAACTGGTGATTTGCTTCCATACCTGTGGTCAGTTTTGCTTCCAGGCATTTCTCACATATGAGTGCTGTACAGTATTAATGTCTTCTTGATAATACAATTGAGATTGGACCATGCAGTGAATGATCCACAAATGAGTCAGTGGGCCAAAGAGTCTTGCATTTTGTAGTAGATGAATAAATGACTTAGACCCTGGATGAGAAGAATGTGTGAGGCTTTATTTTTGATCATCATGAATATATAATAATAGCATGGTGTGATCAGTGCAGGTGGTTGGAAGGGAGTGACCTCTTGTGTCCCTTGGTGCTGAAGACAGGCCTGCACCTGCCAGTGACATCTTTCACAAAGCCTCTCCTGCAGTCTGATCCAGCTTGTTCAGCCAGGGGCCTGTGGATGAGGTTGCCAGCATCCTCTTCCCTTCTCAGCAGAGGTTTGGTGGAGTTGGTGCTAATAGTGGTGGAATTGGTACTCATTAGGATGGCAGGGTCCTCAGAGAAGACTGGGCGACACTCATTGTTGGGGTCCAGGGTGAAGTGAGGTGGGCAGCCACCTGAGGTCAGTGGTGCTCTGAGGTCTGCTGACTTGCTGCCTGACTCTGCTGGTTGGGTCAGGAACACTATGGCCACCATGGTGGTGGCCAGGACTGCTGACAACACTGCCACACCTGCCATGACTCCTAGCACCAACTTGGAGCTTCCCTTGGACTCTATTTGCATTTGCCACTCTGGCCCACCTTTTTTCATCTGGCACAACTGGCCTCTTATTTGTGTGCCTTTCCTAAATGAGCAAACACAATTTCATTTAGTTTCATGTACTGCACACTTCCAAAGGATCTCAAAATTTAAAAATTTGTTGAGCAGATTTGTGGATTTGCTTCTCTAACAAAATTCCATGTAGTTTCATGTACTGTACCCTTTGCAAGGATTTCAGAGTTTATACAATTTTAAGGATATTTTTACCATGGTTTTGAATTTGTATCCAAATACTGTACAGTATAACCAAAATTTTAGCTTGTGCATTAAATTGCACGATTGGAAATTTTGCAACCAAAATCCAATTTTTCTTTTAGAAATTTTCATTATATTTTACTGTGTATATGCCATTTCCTGATTGCTCAAATACATTCTATATAGGACTATATACTGTATTGGTGGATCATGAATGATGCTTTTGTTTACAACATAATAAATGCACCCAAAAACAACTTGAACTAGGGTTGAATTTGATTTCATATATGTATCACTAACATGAACACAGGTACCAGTTAAAGTTTGATGAAGTACAATAAGATCTAGGAAATTAAATCTGAATTGTTTTATTTTTCACAAAGCCCTTTTCAGTTTCATTTCATTAATAATGCCACATGTCACACAGGAATTCAACAAGATGTTTTCATGAATACTATGGGAATAAAACTCTTGCAAACCTCAAGTTAAAAAGATTTTTTTATGAATAAAAAATGTGAAAACTGTTTTAAAAACTGTGATTTAATGCTTCCTGCTCTCACATTCAGCAGCACAGAGGGACTGGAATGTTCACTCCTCTGCATCAGCCCTAAAATCAATCCTCTTATTGCCACCATCAGACTGGTCATGGTTCTGTGCACTTTCATCAAACACAATGGAATGCACAGGGCAAAGCATCAGCAGATACAGTACAGTACACTGTATAGTGAAGCAAAGGGGCCATGTTCACATTTCCTACATTACTTCATTCCCTGTTATACTGTATTTTGCGCCAGGAAAGGAATGCTCTAGCTCTGATGCATCATGGACTGTCCCCTGTGATGAGCATGATTCCCACATATGATGACCTTTTTGCTGCAAGTTAAAGTTGAAAATAAATGCTTTGCTCCAATTTTCGCCTGCATCATGTCGTGAAATGTTCGCTTATTCTGAACACAAAGGTGTGGTTCTGCTGAAAACACACTCATATCTTCCTCCTTTGTGCAACAACATATTTTTAAAAATATTTCAAAGAATTCCGTAGTTCCACAAAAATATCTCGCGAAGGGATCCCTTTTAATCTTCATCAGAACACGTTTTCAACAATTATACTGGCACAATGGAATCCCGAGAATTGGGTACTGCTTTAATTGTGTTCCATTTCCGCGGAAGTACGATTTTGTGTGGGGATTGGTGTAGAGCGACATCTATTTTCAAAAGATACGCTACGCACAGATTATTTAGACTCCGCTTCTCCCAGGTGTCTCTGTAACCTCATGATACTACAATAATTGCAACACATGAATCAAAGTAAGATCCTTTACTTCTTCTTCAATACATGTCCACACTAAAAAAAATACTCAGAGTTTTCCGACATGAATTACAGGCCGAATATTATGCCAAAAATTTTATCTTTGGCATCAGAAGACAGTTGTTAAAGCTTGGAGAAATTTGTGCAGATCAAAATACTGTACTTGCAAAATCTTAGGCTTTGTCATTGAAAATACTCTTTTAATTCTATGGGCATTATGAACAGTTGGAATAACTTGATGATTAAAAAAATTAAACTGTGGTAGTTGAAATTTATTTCCTTCCAAATATTGGGAGCCCATTAATGTTTGTTTTGAGCTTGTGTGGGCAAAACTTGACAATGTGATTCATTATTGGTCAATTCAACATACAAACTATATAACTTCATGTTATTGTACTGTATAAAGCAATGCATAAGGCTTCCATAACTACCTAATATAGATACGAATAATTTATTTTATCTGGCATTGATTTCATGAAATTTTATTTTGAAAAGAAGACCAACAGCATTCCAGGCAGTTCCAAATTTAGCCACAAGAACCTGATGCCAAAAAAGAGGTCACAGCACTGACCTCATGCCATAATAAAAAAGTGTGCATATAGGGAGGCCTTGGAGAGTTTCTTTTCCTTTAAAAAAAAAAAACAAAACAAAACAAAAAAGAAAATAACAATAAAAATTAGCACCACTGCACTCTGGCCCTCTGTGTAGGCTCAGGAAAATGAGCCAATTCCACATTGTGCCTGAATCTGAAGCCCTGCAAGGATGGCCATTTGTGTGTGCTCCCTTGAT